CTCTCTCTCTCTCTCTCTCTCTCTCTCTCTCTCTCTCTCTCTCTCTCTCTCTCTCTCTCTCTCTCTCTCTCTCTCTCTCTTAGCGCGGCATCCAGCGCACAAGTGCACCAGCACTTCCACATTTCTTGCGAATGAGCAATCTGCCCAATGAGGAGGCTGGCCAGTCCTTTTGTAGTCTTGGATTGCACTTCAACTCGTGCCAGCCTCTGCTTCTTGGGGCCTGACTGGGTTCCGGTACCACCTCCCCATGGCCTGTTTGCTTTCGAATGTCAAGGCCTGGAACCTTCCCAAATTTCCTTTGGTCTGCTGCTGATTGGGCCTTTGACATGACTTTTCGATTCTGGCATATGGTTGTTGACTGTGGACTGTGACTCCTGCCTCTGGGACACGACTCTTGCCTGTGGAACTGCCCTTTTACTCGTGGGATGTGACTCTTCAATATGACTTTTCATTATGAAACGTGATTCTTGCCCCTAAGATGTGACTGTTTGCTGGGTGCCTGTTGGACTGGACTGCTTAGGTACCTGACTGTCTTTTCTGAAACTGACCGACTTGACCCTGGCCTCTGACCCTGAACTTGAAGTTGGGGTCTGAATCGTGGATGGCCTTTCACTGGCAATCCTTACCAAAACCTTAGAGATGGAACACTGTGCTCACTGCCAAAGTAGGGCCCCTATTTGGGAACTCCAACCTGACTGCGCTTTATGTCACCTCAGGGGGGACAATTGAGGCATGAATGACTGCGCTTCTCTTCCACTAACTGTTTGCATTTTTATTTTATTTTATATTAAAACCGCTAACGTGACAAATCTGAAGTCTGGGCCGTCGTCGGTCCTACCGGGCCACGGCCCAGATCGACCTAACCATGTAACAAATCTGCCATCTGGGCCGTCGGGTCCTACCAGACCGACAGCCTGGATAGATGCGGTCTTAAGATCTTAGGACTGCGCCGAGATCCAGGCCGTCGGTCCGTACCTACGGCTCAGATAGACACACCGCGGAGTGCCTTTCGCAGATAGACGCGCTGCGGAGTCCCGTGGAGTATTACCGGAGTCAAGTGCCGTGCACGTAGATCCAGGCCCTCGCCCCAGTACCTCGGGGCGAATGGCCCGACGGCCCAGTTCGCAGGCAACTTTGGGTACCTCGCTTTGCCTTTGTCGGTTCCAACGGCATCGCGCCATATTTTCTTGAGCTTTGCGCCAACGCGTTCATGTTGTTTGCCGTAGTACGTGCTGGGTACTGCCGCTGTGGACCTTGGTGCGCAACGCCCAACTCTCTCTCTCGCTCGCTGCTTCTCTCTTTCACTCTGGGCAGACTGTGGGGGTCAACCTCCTGATGAGTCGGTGAAAGCCCGATGAAACACTCTGCCACAGTCATGCTATTTTAATAAAGTTGTATAGCAAACATGACAACACACACACACTATCCCTATCTCCCTCTCACCTAAGGTTGGCCAGCTGCCGCCGTGAGGTGTGGTGGGCCAAGATTGAGTTGCGGTGGAGTCGTTGTCATCGACTGAATGCTGCTGCAAGATGGAACCCTCAGGTCAGTGGCGTGGCTTCCTCCCCAAACCACTTCGTTCGCCCTCCGCTGCTCCTACGCCACCCGACTCCTCCAACCACCCAGCCCCCCCCCCTCCACCGTTCCTCCTCATCTCCTCCACAACCCTATTCCACTACAGCGCCTTCCCTTCTCCCCTCCGCTCTTCCTCGGCCGCCCTGACCAGCTGCCACCTCGACTCTCTTCTCCCCCCATGCAGCCTCAATACCATTTTCGGATCTGTGTGTGTGTGTGTGTGTGTGTGTGTGTGTGTGTGTGTGTGTGTGTGTGTGTGTGTG